GACCAGAACTGCACCGTGTACTCTAGATGTCGAACCAGTAATTTATAGAGTTGTATCCCTTGCTACAATCCCTCTTTAATGCACGCTAGTATCTTGTTAGCTTTGCTGGCTGCTGCTTGGCATTGCATACTTTTGCCAAATCTGTGATCTATGAGCACACACGTTCTTTGCTCCCATGTGCATAACCTTACATTTTTCAACATTAAATCGCATTTGCCATCTTGAAGCTCATGCCTCAATTTAATTTAGGTCCTGTTGAAGTGCAACTAATTCATGTTCAGAAAAACCTGGTGATTCAGTATATTCAGGTAGACAGCTGACCTCATATTAGGCATATTACATTGCTGAACCTAGACCTATTATTCAATGGAAGGCTCCTATTTGCTTACCTAAATCCAGGTGGTGACCTTTTTTTTTTGGACAGGCAGTGTATAAATCACAAAAACATTGTTCAGGTTCCTAAATGTTTACTTTGCACCAGAGCAGACCTATCTACATGCAAATTTCAGGCAAAATAAAGATTTGTTAATTGCAGATCACCCTAAATAGAGACTGGGACAGATTTGCTCCAAAGAAGAGATTACAATGCAGTTCACCAGCAAAATAGCATACCTTGACAAGATTTGGGTGGGTGCGATTTATCCAAGGGGTGGGATTTGTCACAAGCATACCTGATGGAAATAAAGCCTGCTTCTATGGCAGCTTGAATCTACTAGGCATCAGAGCTTGTAGTGGCATTTATGCTTAAAAAAATATTTTATGTGCCAAATTTTGCTGCTTACAGTTCTTATTCTTTGGGCATTGTTTTACCAAACAGAACTACAGTCATTTTTTTATGCAATAATGTGATTTCATTATTCTCCTAAAAAGCTTGGCTTCCTTTGCAATGCTCACATCCAAATTGTTTATCTTCCAATAATTTTCCTTGTTCTGTCCCAGATTCCAGGCAGCCTTTCCACCATCTGACTACTGGTTCAACTTAGATGGAAAGAAATAGCCTTTCTGCGTGGCCTACAAAAGCATTTCACCAATAGGTCAAAATAATAAAATGTTCCACAGAGCTATTTTGTAAAAATTGGATTATTTTTAACACTCATTTTATTCAGGTATAGGTTCTAAGGAATTTAAAGTGGAAGCAAATGCATGTACAAAAAAATGCAGATTGGCAGGCGTTATATAACAGGAGAGCCTGTGTAAGTCCCTTCTGCTGTAAAAGCTTTGTTCTACCATTTTTTTTCCTGTATGCTGAGCCATGCATGTGCAGCTCAGTGCACGGTCCGGGCATGCTGAGATGAAGTGGCTCCCATGCGCATGCGCAGGAGTTACGTCATCAGGGCCCAGGTAATCAATCGGCTAAAGACTTGAAGGTATCAAAAAGGAAAGAAAAAGTTGGGGTTTTGTAGGCATAGAAATGACAACTCCAGAAAAGTCATGAACTGTAAAAAATGTAATTTTAATGTTGATAATAGTTTAAAAAAGAGCTAATATATAGCATAAAAATGAACAGCTGATTAGATTGTTCCCTATGTGCTTACTCCATTCAACCTTCCATTATAAATGTACATAGTAGACAATACATAATAGGCAAAAAAGCATAGGCTGATAATGAATTTAACGATAGCGCATCCCACAGTACATAATGGAAATATGGTATGGTTGATAGTGGAGCAGCAGCTACTCAACGTTTCGCGCATATAGGCGCTTCTTCAGGAGAAGGGAAAAATCAGTGTTACATGCTGACAAGCTGACATGTATGTGTCCTAGGGAACCATCCGGGCACCACACCCCGTAACAATTTTTTACGGGTCATGACTTTTCTGGAGTTGTCATTGCTATGCCTACAAAACCCCAACTTTTTCTTTCCTTTTTGATACTTCTTGTCCTAGGGGTGTGGCATCTATAACCCAGGTCCAGGCAAACCCTCTGCAGTTTAAAGACTTGAAAGCCCAGAAGGGAGGAGTGCAGCACTGGAGGGGATCAGTTTGGCAGGTAAAGGTGGCCATACACCTTTACAACCATTGTACAACTTTTTTTGTCCCGACATCGCACCCTCGTTCAATGTTTGTTTAAACAGCCCATCATGCACAGACAATGTGTTTGTCCAGTCGTGTTTGGGGTGCCATTAACTGGTAATGGCAAGGCAAATGTGTTTTTTGCATGCTTTACAAATGTGTCAAAGTTTTGCACTTTTGAAGCATGTACACGAAACACTCAGGTGTGAATGGGGCCTTAAGGATTTGTATATAAAATATTTCTGCTAGGAACATCCATTGCTAAAATGTAGCTTTTATTTCTCCATTAAAACTGCTATAGAGCAAAAAAATAAAAAATAAAATCTGGACCAGTTTGGTGTCAATACATTTTGCCACAGATTGCTTTTACTCTATGACTCTTTAATGGAGACAAAAATGCTTTTAACGTAGCTCTGAACCATAACTGAATGACATTTAGTTTGTAAAAGATGTGTCAGAAACATTTCCTTTTTAACATTTCCTTTTTAAAAAAAAAAATCCTCTTTTGCTTTATTTTTTTTATCCTTTGTCTCCTAACGGCACTTCTGATCTCCTGCAGCCTCTTGCTGTCTACATGCATCAGCACAACCACTTACAGTCTCTATCCAAAGTCCAGGTTACAGGGTGACAATGTAGGAGAAAAAATTAGAGACGAGTAGGTGTCACCCTATAACAGGAAGCAAGGCAGGATCACTAGATATTATTTTAATGAAAGATGCAGGTTTAAAAATACCTGAAATTACTTTTACATGTTGAAGTGTTATGTGAGATTTTAGGGACTAGGCTGACATATGCTTTAAGAATAGTTTTTACAAATTGATGTTGCTGGACAAATTAATTGCCCAATTTACTCACGATCATACTGCACACTTTTTTGCCTCCTGGTCCCCATTCCTCCTAACCAAACTATCTCCCGGGCAACTTAAAACTTTGATGTTGCTGTTCCAGGATACGAAGTGGTATCTTATGTCAAAAGTGGCAGGATCACTGGGTGCCTTAGATGTTCTTTAGGGTTCCACTCTACAGTTGTCCTTTACACGGCCCTTTTTGTGATCTTCTAGTTCCCGTCTCCAATATGCACCTTCACCGTTCCCATTTTGTGTCTGTTACTCCTCATCCATTCCGCATGTGATGTTTATTGGTTAGTTTATACTGTCTTTTACTGTATGTTCGTTATTTTACCTGCTGTACAATTGTTCTGAATACATGTTTGTACTCAATACTTTTCAATAAAAATTATATGCAAAAAAATCAAAAAGAATGGCTTTTCCTAGGCCCAGCACTTTATATATAAGTACGCTATGGCAAGATATTGAAGTTGGAATACATATTGTGAATTGTTGATTGAACTGGGGTCCTTAACAAATCCTCACAGCCGTGGGAGGGAAACCTATAAACTCCATATAGATCATGTACTTTATGGACCTCAAACCCAGTACCCCAGGATTAAAAGCCAAGAGTATTAAGCAATCAATCACTATGATACTCAGACAGGTCATCATCAGCACTGGCACATAAAGGATATGAGACCTGCAAGATCGATGAGTTACAGAAACCACTGGCAAGCAAAAAGCTTACAGATTCCTCCAGACCGATGAGACTGATGAAGCCAGATACCAAGATTTAAGTGTTTATGGAGGAGCATGAAAGGCATACAAGTTTCTGCTAATGAAAGAGATTATTAGTGTTTTTAACTGAAGAACCAAAAATCCTTAAACAGATGTCATGTTTGTGTAGAGGAGCTGTTGCTTATAAATGTTGTGCAGAAAGTCACCCATCTGTACAGCACTTGCATTCTTTAGTATTGCAATGTTGCTGTGACTTAAACTTTAACTTGCTGTGTATTAAGGGTATAAAAGCGGTTTACACATCTCTCTCTAATATATACCCTGTTTCCCTGAAAATAAGACCTATCCCGAAAATAAGACCTAGTACTATTTTTGGGAATTGCTAAAATATAAGACCTACCCTGAAAATAAGACCTAGTTATGACCATTTCCAGGGCCAGTGGGGGCATAAGGGGGAACTTGGAGAGGCAGGAGAGAATCAGTGGTGCCAACGAAGCCGGGGCTAGAGGAAGCGAGGCGGCACCGGAGGGAGCAGAGCCGCATAAGCCGTTGCTTCCTCTATAGCGCCGGCTCCTGTCACAGGCGGAGTAATACCAAATGCACTCCCCGCCTGTGAGGAATCCATAGTGAAAGCGCGCTTCCCTTATTCTGGCCAGCGATTGGTTAGCAAATTGCTCTTGGAAAGGTACGACACCCCTGATTGCCCTGAACACCATATTTTTGTACATGAATACATGTAGACTTTTCTACATGAATAAGTGTGGATTGTTGTACATTAAAAAAAGAAAAATAAGATCTACCCCGAAAATAAGACCTAGTGTGTTTTTTTTGAGCCAAAAAAATATAAGACAGTGTCTTATCGGGGGAAACACGGTATTTGAAAATATTAGAGAGATAAATATATATAGTTGTGTTTCCATGTATTTTAGTACACGCAAACGTACAGAGTTTGATTATTATAATTATGCTGGAAACTGAAGAAACTCCAAATGGCTAATCCTTTAATGAAAAAGCACAACAATAGAACACAGTACTTCCCATCAGTCAGCTGTTTTAACCAGGCGGACATAACCAATCTATTTCTAAGTTTTAAAAAACAAAGGTCTCCTTGTCAATAAATGTGGAAGCTGTAAACTGCATCATACACCTCTTTAATATGAGGCCATGGGTAGTGGGACATACATTACAGTATTAAGGAAATAGATGGCAAGCTTACCTGGAGGTAACTCATTCCTCCCTATGGTGCATACACATGAACATCCTGGAATTGTTAGTAGTTGAAAACATTTTTATGTGCATACACAAAAGAAAGCAACCAGAAGAAAAGATGGCTAGTCAAAGAGTTTATAACACACACACACACATTGGGAAGGAAATTTTACAAAATTAACTTGCCTAACCTTTACATTTTTTTTTTCAGTATAAAGAACGTTACACCAAAAGTGGGAGATACCGAAACACGTAAAGCCATTCGCCGTGCCTTTGATGTCTGGCAGAATGTAACTCCACTGACATTTGAAGAAATTCCATACCATGAGTTAGAGAATGGCAAACGGGAAGTGGACATTACTATTATCTTTGCATCTGGTTTCCATGGAGACAGCTCACCGTTTGATGGTGAGGGGGGATTTTTGGCACATGCGTATTTCCCGGGACCTGGAATAGGAGGGGATACACATTTTGACTCTGATGAACCATGGACATTGGGAAATCCCAACCATGATGGTAAGGCTTGATCATAATTTATTTACTCTCTCGTTTTCAATTTTGATATTATCAACAGTGTATAGTTTAAGCAATAGTCATGTCTGATCTATGCTGTGTCATATGACTGTACTCAGATCTAGCCAGTTAGCAATACTGATGAAATCTATCAAAGGAGTCTGTTGTGGCTGAAATATTTTTTTCTACAGAATGGTCCAAAGGCCTCACACAAGCAGGTTAGCCAAGAAAAGTATATGTACCTTGTTATGCCTGTTTATAGAGACATACTATATATTAACATATATAATAACTAGCATACTAGCAATGGTAACAGGTCTGCTTTAAAGATAAGGTAAACCATAACATTTAACTTGTTTCCTTCCTTTGGATCTGTTAAACACAACATTTATAGATAAATGCTATATGTATCTATAAATATAAATACCTAAATATATAAGATATAAATATGTTTCATAAGTGCAAAAAAATACCTGTTGGTCTTGCCAGAAATGCAATAAGTTGTTATCTGACTTTAAGAGTATGGATAGGTGTCATTAGGCCAAAGGCCAGAAAGGATATTGTGTTAACTGCTTCAGGACCGTCATACATATATAGATGGGGCTGTCCTGTGCACTTTGATCGGAGGGAGATCATCGCACTTCCAGTGGCTGAACTCCGCTCCAATGACTGAACCCGGAAGTGATGTGTATTATATCACTTCCAGTTCAAAAATACGCCCCTTCCTCACCAATGACACCGCAAAACTACTCATACACTCCCTTGTTATCTCTCGTCTTGACTATTGTAACTCCCTCCTCATTGGCCTTCCACTACACAGGATATCCCCCCTTCAGTTTATCATGAATGCAGCTGCCAGACTCATTCACCTTACCAACCTCTCAGTGTCTGCATCCCCCCTCTGCCAATCCCTACACTGGCTTCCACTCGCCCAGAGGATAAAATTCAAAATATTAACAGTCACCTATAAAGCCATCCACAACTCCGCCCCCGGATATATCTCAGACCTTGTCTCTAAGTATCCCCCTAACTGTCCCCGCCGCTCATCCATTGACCTCCTGCTTTCCAGCTCCTTTGTCCACTTCTCCCATACTCGCCTCCAGGACTTCTCTAGAGTCTCTCCCATCCTCTGGAACTCTTTACCCCAACCTGTCCGCCTATCTTCCACCTTGACTGCCTTTAGGCGTTCCCTAAAGACTCATCGCTTCAGGGAAGCCTATCCCACCTCGACCTAACCACTGAACCTTCACATTCTCAAATAATTCATCCCCAACACAGCTACCTCCTCATGTATCATTTCCCGCTCCTCTTTCAGATTGTAAGCCCTCAGGGGCAGGGCCCTCCTTACCATCTTGTCTTTGAATTGTATTGTAACTGTAATGTCTTCCTTATATCGTAAAGCGCTGCGCTATATAAATACTATGTAATAATAATAATAATAATTTATCTGGCTGCTGTGGCCGGAGAAGAAGCTGATAAAGCATGATCTGTCTAAAGGTGACAAAAAAGGTTAAAAAATGTGTAAGTCTTATATAAAAAACCACAAAGAAAGTCCCCCGCGTACACGCAGATACAAACGCAAACAAGTCAGGTGCGCCCGCATACAAAAATTACAATTGTGACACACATTACATATCAGTGCGATAGGGCCATCAATCACTGTTAACATGAAATTGATGAGGGGTAAAAGCTTTGAAGGCATTACCTATGGGCAATTTTGGTTATTGCAGGTTTCTTGCCATTTTACGGGCACATACGATTTTAAGGTTTGACATTTTTGGTATCTATTTACCGGACATAACCCCATCTTTTATATTATACCAAAAAATCGGGTATTGTGTTCTGATTCTGTGCACTCAAATTAATTTTAGTGTATTTCATCCTAAAAATACTGGTTTCATAAACATTAGCACAAATATCGTGCAACATAAAAAATTGCAACTAGCATATTGGTATTCTACAGGGCATCTGCATCCAGGAAAAAAAAAATTGGGGGGTGGTTTTAAGTTGTTTTCTAGCCAAAAATTCAGATTTTATCGTGTGTGCAAAAATTAAGAAATTGCTCCAGATGCCAAGTGGTTAAAGTTTATTTCCAATTTTGCAGCCAAATTGGGATAACATCCACTTTACAGTATATTTGTTACATGTTCTCATTCTCTAAAACATTTAGAAAAAAAATAATGCTGCTTTTTTAAAGTGATTTTTACTTGCTTAAAATCCTACCTAGTCCCCCCCCCCATTAAGAAGGGGGCTGTGGTAAGTTATGCTAACTGTATGCTTAGCTGTCACCACTAACTTCGCCCAATTGTTTTTCTTTTG